CTGGCAGGTGCGCGCCGCGCTCGAGTGGCTCCGCGACGAGATGTCGCAGCAGTTTGGCCCGTACCCGAAGCGCGCCGCCGCGCTCACCTATCTGCGTTGGGTGGAGGGGGCAGGCGCCCGTGTTCGCGGCTCGGGAGGCGGCGCCGCCGTCCCCGCCGCGCGCACCGACGACGCCGCCGCCGCCGCCGCCGCCGCGGGCGGCGAGTTCAGCCGTGCCGCCTCGCGCTCCGCCACGCCGCGCCGCTGCCAGCGAGCGGAGCCTCCGCCGCCGCGCGACTCTCCGGCGGCGGTTGGAGCGGGCGCCGCATCGAGGAGCGGCTCGGCAGCCACCACGCCCGCAGGCGCGGCGGCGGCGCGGCGAGGCGTTGCGCGGGTGCAGGAGGTGTGGCCGCTCCACCTCATCGAGTGGGACAACGCGGGCCAGATGGGCGTGCTCTTCCGCCTGCTGCGCTGCCAGCCAGAGGTCATCCGGTACTACCTGACTGGCTGCGCCACCCCGGGCGCCACGAGCGGCGCCCCGCCGAAGGGTGGCGCACCGCGCGGCGTCTTTCCGCGCACGATGCAGTTCCAGAGCCAAAAGGTGGGCGCCTCGGGGCAGGAGATCGGGTCTGACTTGCTCTTTGGGCGCCGGATGGGCTTCTCCGGCACGCCAAACAACCTGCTGCCCGAGGAGCTCGGGCCGTGCGACTACGCGCCGCTCACGGACGGCGCGATGCTGCACGTGCTCACCTCGCCGTCGGTCGTGGGCGAGAGCCAGGCGCTACCCGACGACTGGTCGGTCGGCGCGCTGCTTGCGCGGGTCGCCACGTCGGAGCCGCCGCTGCACGCGCTCGTCGACACCGGCGCGCTGGTGACGGGGCTGTCGAACCTCGAGGCTGCGACGCGACTTCTCGAGCTCGGGCTGCGGCACGTGGAGGGGTGACGCTTCCTAGACACTTCCTCGACACTTCCTCGACACTTCCTAGACACTTCCTAGACACTTCTCGAGCTCGGGCTGCGGCGCGTGGATGGGTGCGTGGGCTTGCCACTGAACAGTAGTAAGCGTCCAGTTGGAGCGCTCTGCTGTTCGTATTGTATGCCCCTTCCCATCCTTGTCGCTGGTTGTCACTGCGAGCGGGTGCGTCTTCGTGGGCGCGTCTCCACTGCCGCTGCTCCGCCATAGTCATCCGCAAGTCACACTCTTCAGGTGCGTCTTTATGGACGCGTCCGGCAGCAAGATGATCCTGCTCCGCGATGGGTGGCGCCTCCTCAAGCTGGAGCAGTGCGGACTAGGAAGTGTCTAGGAAGTGTCTAGGACGTGTCTAGGTGGCGCCTCCTCAAGCTGGAGCAGTGCGGGCTCCCGCCCGCCAAGCGCTTCTCCTTCTACGACCAGGTGCACACCACCGGCATCGACATCCCTCAGCCGGCGGCGGCGGTGGCGGCCCTCACCCTCGGCAAGGACATGACGTTCCGCGACTACGCGCAGGGCGCCTTCCGCATGCGCGGCATCGGCAAGGGGCAGCGCATCGAGCTGCTCGTGACTCCCGAGGTGCAGCAGCTGATCGACGTCGCAGAGACGCAGTGCCGGCAGCCACGCAGCGCCGGCAAGCCGCAGCAGACTCTCGGCCGTGCGATCGAGCTGCGCAAGGTGGTGCAGTGGCTGCACATCAACACGATGCGCTCCGAGGCGATGCAGTTCCACCTGCTCTGCGACCAGTCGCTCGCAAACGTGTGGCGCAAGGCCGCCTTCGTGCAGATGCGAGAGACGTACCGAAGTATCTCCACAGAGGTGGACTCCCGCGCGGTGCCGGACTGGTCGCCGGAGCTGGAGAGGGCCGTCGAGCTCTTCCGCAACCGCGTAGTCTTCGAGGTGTCGGCCGAAGTGCCGAGCGGCCGCCGCGCCGAGAAAGCGCTCGCCCACTCCACCGAGCCGATCAAGACGGAGGGGGGCACGCTGCGCAACGAGGACGGGCGCGTCTACCGGCTGATGCTGCCGTCGGTGGACTACGTGAGCCCCTTTCTTCGGGGCGCGGAGCAGGTCCGCCTCTGCAACGCAATCACCTCGCGGCTGGGGGAGGCGGAGCGGCAGCAGGCGCGCCGCAGCGCCGGCTCTCTGGAGCACTGCGCGGCGCTGGAGCACTTCGAGGCCGGGCACCGCCGCGCGGAGTGGGAGCAGCGGCACGAGCAGCAGCAGGAGAGCCAGCAGGAGGAGGAGCGCGAGCAGCAGCAGCAGCTGGTCGTCGTCAACTCTGAGCTCGAGGAGGCGGCAGATGTGCCGGTCGAGGAGCCGGCGCGGCTCGACTTCTCCCAGGTGCTGCCGGCGGTGCACGCGTGGCCGATCGAGACGCTCGCCCGCCCGCCCTCCTCCGACGGGGAGGCGGCGCCCTTCTACCCGCTCTCCGACTTTCGCGTGCGGTCGCCGCCCAACGGGCCGCCCTTCGAGCCGCTCGCGCTGCCCCACTGCCTGCTGCTCTCGCGAAACTACTTTGACCCGGGCCGAAACTACTTTGAGCGCGTCGCGTCGCACCGCCGCCTCAAGAATGTCATCATGGCTCTGGACTGGGTGGTGCCCGCCGTCCAAGCCCCCGCTGAGAGATCGGCGGCCGGCGGAGGCGGCGGCGGAGGCGGAGGCGGAGGCGGAGGAGGAGGCGGCGGGGGAGGAGGCGCAGGCGGCGGAGGCGGGGGCGGAGGCGGGGGCGGAGGCGGAGGGCCGACGCTCTCTGCGGAGCAGGAGGAGCGCTTGCGCTCTCTTTGGGCCTTCATCGCGAGCGGCAACGCTGGGCAGGCAAAGGTCGAGGGCACGATCTCGCGGGACGAGTTTGAGGGGCTGCTGGAGACGGAGGGGCTCGAGCCTGACCGCGCCGCCCTCGTCGCCTCCGAGCTGGGGGAGCAGGTCGGCCTCGACGAGGCGAGGCGCGCGCTGGCGGAGCAGGTCCCCGCCGAGCGGCACGAGGGGCGGTACCAGATTGCAATCTCGCTCGAGGAGGCGGAGGCGGTGCGGGCGCTGCTGCATGGGCTGCGGAGCCGCGGCGCCCCGCTGCTCGGCGGCGGCACCGCCCTCGCCCTCCGCCACGGCGACCAGCTCTTCGATGCGAGCGCCAACTTTGCCGCCGGGGAGGGGGGCCGGCTGGCCACGACGGCGCGGCAGTGCTTCCGCCTCTTCGACTCGGAGGTCAACTTCACGCCGGCGGAGGTGACGGCGATCCTGCGCGCGCTGCAGACCAACCCGCCCGAGAAGCGGTCGAGCTGGTTCGAGTCGGTTCGCATGTGCCGCCGGCGAGACACGCGCCACTGGAGCAACGCGCCCATCTCGCGCGTGTTTTGCACCAAGAACCAGGAGCAGGTGGCGCGCGAGGAGATGGTGCGCCACAAGATTGTCTCCCACCTGAGGCAGCACCGCATCCACGCCGCAACCTTCTTCGCCGAGTGGGGCGGCAACCATGACGGCTTCCTCCTCGTCTCGGAGCTCAAGAGCGGGCTGCACGCGCTCGAGGGGCTGCGCATGGAGCTCGACCGGTTCGACGGTGCTCGTGAACCGGTGAACAGCGTCTCTTCACAGGCGCATCTGTGAACAGGAGCTCGACCAGTTCGACGTGCTCGTGGGCCGCCTCCGGCCGGACGAGAAGGAGCGGGTCGCGTACGCCGAGTGGTGCTCGATGTTTGCCGAGGTCACCGACGGCCTCATTCTCATCATTCTCCTCCTCCCCCTACCTCATATTGCCGTTGTTCTTGTCAGGCCACCGACGAGCAGCGCGGCCTCGTGCGGCAGGACCACCTCGAGCCCCTCTCGGAAGAGGCGCCCGCCGACGGGCTGCCTCCGAGCGGCTACTTCAAGGGCGCCGCCGCCATCCAGCGCAAGGACACGCCGCGCCGCTCCGTCGAGGCGGTGGCTGGGCGGCGGTACACCGAGCTCCCGCTCACGCGGCTGATGAAGCTCACCGTGCGCAAGCTGCCGCTCTCGCTCGCCGGCCGCGCGCACTGCGTGTGGAGCACCAAGGGGCTCCCGTGCAAGGAGTCGCTCTCGCTGTGGTCGCCCGAGGCCAAGCGCGACTTTTGGGCGCCAAACAAGCAGCGCTTCTGCGTCGGCCACTACGGCAGCCCGTCGCTCGAGCACAAGCCGGGCGGCCTCTGCCTTCTCGAGCTCGAGGACGTGGTGCCGTGGCAGCTGATGCGCATGTGGCAGATCGACGCCGCGCTGGCGTCCAACGCGCCGCACCCCGAGTGGTACCACCTCGAGTGGCACAAGGACTCGGCGGAGCGGCCCATCTACGCGTGGAAGCCGATGCCGCCGTCGGAGGACTTTGTCGCCCTCGGGATGCTCTTCACGACCACCCCCGAGCAGCCGCCGCTCGTCGCGATGCGCTGCGTGCACAAGAGCTGGGTGGTGGAGGCGACGGCGGAGCCGCAGTGCATCTGGAAGGACCTCGGCATGGGCGGCAAGGCGGGCTCGGTCTGGTGCGTCAGCGATACCCTCGCATCCCTCGGCGAGGCGGACGAGGCGGGCAGGCAGCGAGGGCTCGCGTGGGCGACCAAGGGGTACGAGCGGCCGCGCGGGCCCTTTTACCGGCTGCGCGACACCGCCTTCTCCCTCGCGGAGGTGAAGCAGGGGAGCGCGGGCGGCGCCGCCTCCTCGAGCCCGCCGCCGCCCGGGGAGGCGGCCGCAGAGGCGGCCGGGGAGGCGGCCGGGGAGGCGGCCGGGGAGGCGGCCGGGGAGGCGGCCGGGGAGGCGGCCGGGGAGGCGGCCGGGGAGGCGGCCGGGGAGGCGGGGGAGGCGGCGGCCCGCGAGCCACCGGAGGAGTCACTGAGCCTCGACGCGAGGATGGTGGGGGAGGAGGGGAGGATGAAGGAGGCGGCGCGGGGCCGCGCGCCGTCGCTGCCACCGGAAAGGTGAGTTCGCGCGGTTCGGCAAAGCCGATTGACGTACGTCGGGGCGGGTCCGCGGGTCTCTCAATGGCACGCATCGACCGGCTCGTATTAGTTCTGTGAGGAAGGTAAGTTGACGTTGCAGAATTGCACACGGTCACGGAATGCAACGGCAAGTGCCATTTCACTCTGAGTCTGACACGCTAATCTTGAAAACGTCTCCAACGGAGCTCCGTGTTGCTTCCAGCGCCCTCCCCCGCGCTCCCTGCGGCCATGGCCGATGGGCCGAGCGTTTTTGATCTCTGGGTCAGTGGGCGCCCGCCCGCCGCCTCTGAGGGGGTCGGGCCCCCTAGACTGAAAACAAAAACAAAATGTAGAACCGACAAAAACAGCCTGCGAGAGCGGCGCTGCGCGCCGCCTACTTCGTGCGGCGGGTCGTGAGTGACCCCCACGACCACGGCATCCAAAAAAATGGAAAAGTAGACAATAGTCGGATGGGCACGAACCCGCGCAGCGCCGGCTTTGAGCCACGCGCCTCGATCTTCAGAGGCGCGTGCGCTGCCCCTTCCGGCAAGGACGACGACATCGAGGGGATGTCTATTGTTGCGCCCATGGCGTCATCCATTTCGTCAAGCCAGCTTCATCGTGGCCGTTGCCACCCTCGCCGCCGTCTCGCCTACGTCGCCGCCGTCGCCATCATGCGATGCAGGCCCATTCATGATGCAGGCCCAGCCCACCCCCCTGGCTCCTATGCCGACGTGTCCAGCGTGCTCCCCCGTCCGCCGATGTCTCTGCTGCCGCCCAGCGGAGCTCTGCAGCGGGCCCTCCTCGCCGCTTTCGCTGCCGCTGCATCGCTGTCGGCTCGTCATTTCTGTCTACAGTCATTGGGGGCTGCCATCGCTGTTCTCTCTCTCTCCCTGGGTCAGCTCCAACCTGCCGTGTCGGGACGTCACCCCCTCGGCTCCTCCCCCCCCCCCTTCTCCGCTGACTGCTTGCTGCTGCTGCTCGCTTTGTCCCAGGAGCCAGGTGCTTGTGTCTAATCGTAGTGGGGGCCCTGGCCCCCCTCTGTTTTCTGTTTTCTGTTTTTCAAAACGCCCGCCCGCCCGCCACCCCGAGGTGGCTCGGCCCCCCACTGACCCAGAGATCAAAAAACGTCGGCCATGCTCCTAGTATGAGAGGTCATCTGGCTACCGCGAGAGCGACCTAACTCGTCGACATCGTCCGATGATGGTGCCGCAAAGTCAGCCTTCGGAGGCTATCGTGGGTCGAGCCGGCAGTAGCCGTGACATGTGGTTCCACCACCCCTCGTAGGCTTTGCCTCTGACCGCCACCATTCCCAGGCTGCCTAATGGGAGCGAAAGGAAGGCTCGGCGAGCGTATAGAAGCGTGCTCGACCTCGTCGTGGCAACCTGTACGGCAGCGCTGGTAGGCGCGATGAGCGTCGTGCCACCTGACCCGAGACGGGTCGCAGGCGTCGTACCGAGCGCGTCGAGACCGTGTCCTGATGCGATCTGCACGGGGGTGAGTCACGTCGGCATCAAAGGAGCGACGTGCGACCTGTCAGAGCTTGATCTCCGATCTCAGCGGCGTCGAGTCGTCTCCGGCGGCGACAATTTGGTACATCTCCAGGACGCGCAGACAGAGGCAGCTGCGAGCCCGCCGAGTGGACGGGGGCACTCCGCGCCACCTGCCGAGTATCAGATACTCAGTGAGAGGAAGGCGGGAGATTGGATATGGTGCACTGCTATGAGAGGTGTGGCGGAGACGGTGACGGACGGCCGCATGGATGCCCATGGACGGCGCGATGACGGGGAACGGCACGAACGGCGGGAGCGGCATTGGCGGAGACGGCGGATGGCGGAGAGGAGGCAGACCCGGGGCTGTGTGTGGAAGGGGAACGGCTGCGGTTCGACCCTGGCTGACGCACCAACGTCGGCGAAAACTGGGATGTGCCCGTTGACGAGCTACCACCAAACTCGCCATAGCCTATGAGTTCAGTGTCTCTGTACGCGCCATCGTCGCCAGTCAGTTCACGCCACTGCTTCGAGCGAGCTTGAAAAGCGCCCAAGTCCATTCGCACCACCTGAGACAGCACAGTCACGCAGCGGGATGCTGAAGCAAGGCCATCGATTCGGAAGGCCGTTGCTCACGCTGAACGGTGGGAACGGAAAGCTTTCGCGCAGCTTGCCGGCGTCAGACGGAAGAGGCGGAGGGGCCCTCTTCTTAGCCCGTGATAGGCTGATTTGATGCTTGCTCTTCAGATCCTCTGCATCGTCCGGCACGGTGCCGTGCCGACTTCTTCGTACGGCACATGTCGGCGTGTGTTTGCACCCCCCCCACTTCCTCCCCCCGCCACCCCCCTCCCCCTCCGAGTCGCGCGTGGGGGTAGTCGTTCCGCCCAAAGCTCGCTCCCCCGACCCGTTCGCCCCGCGCGCAGAGGGCGGCCACGGGCTGGTGTGTACGAATCGCCTCTTCACACCGCCGTCCGGGTGTGAACAGGCCGCTCGACGCGGAGCACGTCGACCCGCTGGGCGGCGGCGGCCGTCCCGAGTCGATGGCCGAGGCCGCCGCGGGGCGAGGGGAGGTGGAGGGCCCGGGCGCCTCGGTGCGAAGGCGGGACTGCGAATGTCGACCCGCGTTTGCTTCCAGCCGGAGGTGGGCCCATGTCGCGTTTTCGGCAAAACATCCATTCCGTATTTCCGTTTATGTTTATGGGAATACACAACCTGTTCGTAAGGCTCCGTGCGAGGGCATAAAACAAATTGATAATCTCAATCCGCCAGCAGCGCACGCGTCAGGATCGATCGGGAGAGGAGCCGGTCGCTCGAAGACGCTCGCCCCCACCAGCGAGCCCTCACGCTGTGCCGAAATACAAGCCGTGCGCTCGCACGACGTTGCGGCGCATGGCCTGAACCGCCGGCGCGCGCGTCAGAACTCTCACTCAGTCACCGCGCTGGAGCTTTACTACTCGCTCATCCTCCGCTGCCCACCTTGCTTCCTACTCGTCCAAATCGCTGTCCTCTCCGCCGCTGTTGTCCTCTCCGTCAGAGGAAGCAGGCGTGGGCGGCCGGCTCGCCCACGCCTCGATCTTCTTGGGCAGCAGCTGGTTCGACAAGTCCTCTCCGTGGCCAAGGCAGCCGTACTCGCCCTCGCCCCAGGTGAACACAGCGTTTTCGGCGGCGAGGGCGAGGCTGTGGTTGCTTCCCGCCGACACGGTGATGACATGCTGGCCAGCAAAGGCCTCGATCTTCTTGGGCAGCAGCTCACCATATTCGTCGCCGTGGCCCAGCTTGCCTCGCCCTCCATAGCCCCAGCTCCAGGCGGCGCCGTCGGCAGTGGTGGCGAGGCTGTGGCTGGCTGCTGCCGAGACAGCGACGACGCGCTGGCCAGCAAAGGCCTCGATCTTCTTGGGCAGCAGCTGACGCTGCTGGTCGCCGTGGCCCAGCTTGCCTAAGCCTCCAAAGCCCCAGCTCCAAACGACGCCGTCGGCAGAAATGGCGAGGCTGTGCGCGTCTCCAGCCGACACAGCGACGACGCGCTGGCCAGCAAAGGCCTCGACCTCCTTGGGCAGCAGCTGGGCCTGCACGTCGCCGTGGCCCAGCTTGCCAAAGCTTCCTGAGCCCCAGCTCCAGACGGCGCCGTCGGCGGTGATAGCGAGGTTGTGGCTGCCTCCTGCCGACACAGCGACGACACGCTGGCCAACCAAGGACTCTACCATCTTCGGCAGCAGCTGGTTCTCGAAGTTGCCGTGGCCGAGGCTGCCAAAGTTTCCAAAGCCGCAGCTCCAGACACTGCCGTCGGCGGCGAGGGCGAGGCTGTGGCCGCTTCCCGCCGACACGGCGACGACGCGCTGGGCAGACAAGGCCTCGACCTTCTTCGGCTGCCACTGGTTCTGATTGTCGCCGTGGCCCAACCGGCCATGGGCTCCCCAGCCCCAGCTCCAGACACTGCCGTCGGCGGCGAGGGTGAGGTTGTGCGCGGCGCCAGCTGCCACGCTCACGGCACGCTCACCCAGCGTCGGGAGGCGAGTCGGCGTTGTCATTCGCGTCACGCCCTCGCCGTGACCGAGGAGCCCTGATGAGTTTACCAAGTCGACTCGCTCTGAGCCGCACGACGAGAGCCGCCCCTCGCCGTCGATGAAGATGCTGTGCGTATAGCCTGCTGCCAACCTCGCCGGCGGGTTGGACTCCCACAGCAACGCCGAACAGCACAGCCACCGCACGGCACAGCCCTCGCCCTCTGGCTGCGCCGGCAGCTCGAAGCCGCGCTCTTGCGCCCACAAGCGGATGGCCTCCACCGCGAGCGAGGCGTGAAAGAGGAGCGAGACGGCCGCGACGCGAGCGATGTCGACGGGGTCGCAGCGAGAGAGGGCGCGCAAGAGGAGGTCCGTTGGGAGGTCGAGGAGGCGGGCGGGCGGCGGCGTGTCGGGCGAGGGGGCGGCGGTGGAGGCGGTGGAGGCGGAGGCGAGGCGGCACGAGCGGCGGCGCGGCGGGGTGGACATCGCGAGACCAAAAAGAATTTCACAACTAAAGGCTCTCGCACACGCACGATTCACACGACAGACAAGGCGCAGACGACGGCTTCCTTAGAAGCCATCGTCCTCGCCACAAGAGCCGGCGTCCGAAATCCCCTCCTCCGACACCCGCCCCACCCCACCCCACCCCGGACCCCTCCCCCAAAGCCCCACCCCGTCCCGACCCACCCCGCCCTCCCCGCCGGACCCTCCCCAAAGCCGCAATCGACTCCGCCCCCCTCCCGATCCCCCCATCTGCGCGTGCGCTCGCCACCCGCGCCGCCGTCTCCCCCATGCGCACTTGCGCCAGCAGCCGTCCCGCCTGGCGCCTCGCCCGCCGCCCGCCGCCTCGCCCGGTCCTCACGCCCGCCCGCTCGACCGCCGCCTCCGCTGGCGTCCTGACAGCTGCCCCGCCCGCCACCTGATCCTGGATTGCACTCACCTGGGAATAAAAGAACGGAGTGCCGGCCACGCCCGAGACGAGCTCGGGCGATTTACCTCCGACAGTCGCGTGA